AGTATCAGTCGGTTTAGTGGGCTCATCCATAACTAGAGCTAAATCGAGCCCAAAAGGCCAACATTTAGCTTGACATATTCGATCGAACCAACATAGTTCTGCCCATTAAACTTGATACAATTGGCACTCATATTTGACATAGTAGAGATTACTGCAAACATTTACATTTTACATATTAATTGCTTTGAATTTAAACCACAATTCAGACTATAACATATACCAAAACATTGTATTTAAATTCTCTTTTGGGCTAAATCTAAACACAACCAACAATCATCAAACATGCATCATTCTTATAACATTTATAAGGTCAATCATTAAGTTTACTTTAACATACAAGTCATCTTTGAATGTAACTTATATATTAATTAAACAAGGTCCATAACCTACTTCAATTGTTATTAACCATGAGTAAGATCTACTTTTAGGTAATCGTATAACTACATGTTAATAACTATAAATGTTTATTATTTTTAAATGTCATTTATTTAAATGTCATTTATGATGCTACATCAAATAAACATTTATAAACATAATATAAATCATTTAATGAATTTCGAGTGGGCCACTTTGGTGCCTAACGCACTCACTAAAATATTAAAGATTTAAATCATGATCCAAAATTGTTTGCTGAGATCCTACAGTTGCCACCCCAACGACATTCACCATCAAATCGGATCATATCATTGTTCCTTATCAATTAACAATCAATCTAACATCAATATTATAATCAATTGTCAATTTGAAACTTCAATTAATCATCAATAAGAAAATACCCAAATTTCTCATGAAATCTTTAATAAGAAAAATACCCAAATTTATCATGAACCTTTAATAAGAAAAATACCAAAAATTTCTTATGAAACATTTAATAAGAATTAAATACACAAATTTCTTATGAAACCTAAATTAATGATTTAATTCATATCAAACCTGACTCTGAGGCCAAATATTAAAATTAATTAATCTTGTATGTGGAAGCAATTAATACATAAGGATAATGATAGGGTAATTAAATCAACCAAATCAAGCTCATGTCATAATTATTAAGAATTACAGTAAAAGAAATGAAAACTTACTTGATGATTCTGTTATGATAGTTGAATATCCCAAAAGCAAGAAATAATAGATGTTATCTAATCCCAATATTGTATAATTCTCAATTCGTCTTGTGAAAATATCAATACTTGTTTGATTCTTGATGAAAGAACCAGAATCCCAAAATAGAGAATGTTCTTATTTTCTTTTTAAGAGAGAAAAAGAGAGTCTTGAAAAAAAAAATTGTCAGCTACGTGAGTCTTTTAAAAAACTGTTAGCTACATGAGTTTTTAAAAAACTGATTTCACTATGTTTTTTAAATCACAAAAAATAACCGAAAGACTAAAATAACCGAAAGGCCTATTTACTTTTCAGTTACACATAACATCACTCAAACTTATATTTTCACGGTATGAGATAGAGGAATTTACACCCGATAATTGTCTCCTCGATACTACACTAATCGTCACCGTGTGAACAACAACAATAATTATCAATTACTTAAATTATATGAATCAATATTAGAAATCAAAATTTCTAATAGAGGAGATTCAGGAGAACGAAGGTAGAAATGTTGGTAAACATATTTGATTAATTGAAATTGATAATGGATGACATGCATGTACTTCGTGGAACGGGATTTGGTTTTTTATTATGTTAATCCGAAAGTCGTTTGTTCCTAGTCAGAAAAATGGTCTTTAATCAGCCCATACGGGCTTGAGAAATCAGGGTTCAATACCACTTGTGCAGGCCATAGATGCCCAATTGCGCACTATATCTTTCAAATAAGTAACACTTGGGTCTATAAACAAAAAGAAAAAGACTCGAGTGTAGTAGCTTACCCCAATCCATCATGTCTAGGCCTGTTGTTCTTCTTAAGCCAATGATAAAGACCAAACATGCTTGGTTTCACCCCAATGACACTTTACATATAACTAGGTGTGGTCGATTTAGTTCGGTATTTTAAAAAAAATTGAATCATCTATTTTGATTTGATTTGGTTTAATTTTTTATATTAATTTTGAGTGAGGTTTTTTGTATAAGGGGAAAAACTATTCGCCATGACATGAAACTCTACATGATTTAATCATAGATCATAGAAGTCAACTAGTACAAGTTATCTAGTAAGTAAACACATTCGACTTTAAATATTATCTTCTCCAAGTGACTGTCCCGCAAAGGGAACAATTCAATTGTATGACCAAGTACTTGTTGACTCGCATCTGGGTTGAAACTTCAATACAAAAAAGGCTTCTCAATTCATGAGCACGTGATACAACTCGATCTTTTATGGAAGAAAAAGATATATGCCTCAGGCCTACGCAGCAGGACTCAACATGCATATTGCATGTGTCATGGACCACGAGCCCACAACTGAGGTCAGCACAAGAGAAATAACCCAAGATTACTTAAGTGACATTTCGGGCCTCCCTAGACCCATGAAGATTGACCCATTCCATGGAGATGAAGAGCCTTGCATGTTTATGGATGGAGAATCCTTGGTTAATGATCCTCATGATTCTTTCCATAAACTTTGTAATCTTTTATCTAAGGCAACATGTAACTAGTTTGATAGAGTTTCCTTAGTTAAGAGAATATCTTGTAGATACAATTCCTTAATTTGGGGGATTTAGGAGATTATATTCGATATGGGTCGTCGATGTACTTAGATCTTAGCCGTTCATTGAGAGGAGCTTCCACTGTAAATAGAGGCCCCTCCTCCTCATTTGTACTCACTTCTTCATTTTTGAGAAACCACATAGCATTCTCTCAAAATTACTCTTGTTTTGCTTTTGTGCTTGTTAGTTCTCTTTTGCAAAGTTCTTTGGTTCCATTGGAATCTAAGCATATTTGCTTGGGTTGTTTTCAGGTTGACTTAGCCGCAATCACATAGAAAGCAACTAGGGATGCACGTTCGAGGGTTCGAAGTTCTAAGGACGTGACACATCATTAAACTTATCAGAGCTGGTCTTTTTCATTAAAGTTCGAATTCACACGTGATTTCCAAACTTCAAGCCGAAGCCTTTGCCAGTAATAAACACATAGTTGTTCCGGCTTAAAGAAGACTCCAACTTAAAAATACATAATCGCTCCCCCCCTAGCTATAATACATTCTTGATTCCATATCCTTGATGTACTTACGTTTTCAAATTCTCTCAAATTTGAAACTGTCATATGAACATATGAAAAATATTTACTAAATATTTTATTATTGAGATAGTAATTATTTCTCATAATTCCCGATTTTTTTTGTTAAGATTCTCTCGTATGATCATTATTGACAGTATCACATATTCATAAAAAACAATAAAAATGGCATTCTTATATTTCATTCTATATTACCCTTGAAATAATATGTATTATTCCTTCGCCCAATGAGCGTAATAAAATCAGTCATTAAAGTTAATTTTTATTATATTTTTCGTCTCTTTAAATTAATTAAAAAACAGAGATTGATATATATATATATATATATATAGATATTATGTTTAAGGATTAGTTAATAATTTTCAGTTTTCATAATGAAATTTGTTTATATTCTCGATTAATTTGTTTAAAATTTCAATAATTTACTTAAGTGATTTTAATTTAAGTATATATAGATATATTACACACATATATATAGTTATTTATGTAAATTTATTTTTAAACATTATTTAATATACTAATTATCAGAGGCGGGGCTAGAGGGAGCACAACATGAGCAACGGAACAGGACCCCAAAATAGCAAGGGCCCTAAAAAAAATAGATTTATTACAATAAAAATCTCATTTTTTTTTGTCTAACTCCACTTTACGAGAAATAAGCTCATCTTCATGATCTTCCTATCTCACACCGTTAGGATTTGAGTTAGTAATATCACCAATCTCCCTATATATACTGCTTTCAAGCTTTGCAATTTTTACTAAGGAAATTTGCAAGGGCCTCGGAATAGCATGGGCATCTTTTTAAGAATTTGCATAGGGTCTCCAACGTCCTAGTCCTAGCCCCGGCCATGCTAATTATATTAATTATTAAATATAAAGTTATGATAAAATTTAAAATTTAATGAATTTCTATGCAAATACTTTTAATTTAATAGTAAAATATAAGTATTTTTAATATATATAACCTAAAAATAATTTGATAAAATTTATTTTTAAATTTCTTTAATCAAATGCTATAATCTAGTGTTTTCTATCAAATAAACAAATAAAATGATATCGCATCTAATATTAAATAATATTAGATTTTACAACTTCAAAGATAACATTCGGAGAATTAAACATCCAAGCAAATACTTGGATTTTCTCCTGACAAAGCTGGAAACTAACCAGGTACGATTCTTTTATGAAGTGTTTCATAAGGATTTTGTGGTTGGCGTCGATGAAAATGGAAGCAACGATTCATTGCACATGGCTATATTGAGTATTGGCTAAATGATGGACCACATACATGGAGCTTTATGTGGCAACCGCCTCAGGTCATTTAACATCAAGAATTTGTCTATCAAGTCTGCTTGTGATTTCTATTTTCCTCTCCAAGATTCGCCACTCCCGCCTTCAAGATTCGTGACTGAGACACTTATGGTGACAAGCACTGTTTACCTTAATAATTAAAACCAAAAATAATTGCTACTTTTACTCCATTTTCTGGAATCAATCTTGTTCTAGCTAATATAGTGATTGGACGAATAATATAGATAACTTTGTTATAAAAAAAAAAAAAATCATGCAACTTGTTAAAATATTATTGGCAATGATCAACAGTATATCGGAAATTTGAGAAGGAAATGTCCAGTTGCAAATCATGATCACATACTTAATGTCACAGTCACGGTCAATCACATTCATCAGAGACGTAAACAATTGTTTATGTAATCTTAAGTTTCGAGGAATTACCAATCGTAAGGAAAAGTATACTCTATAATGTACACCTGAAAATCCATTGCATGGTAAATAAAATCTACGTAACCAAAATTACAGAAGCGTTGATCAGAACTAATTGTCGTTATCATGATCCATATTTTTTGTTACCAGCAGCCTCTCAAGGGTGGCGCATCCAAACCGCTTTCCTTCCACCGGTTCCAGCGGCGATCCGGGTCTGGACCTTCACAAACTCCGAGAACCCGCAAGGAAGGGTGATTCCACCTGGGTGGCTAAACCCGTACTCCTTTTCGGCGTCTCTCAAGAGCTCGCCGAACAAAGGGTGGTTAAAGTAAATGACTGGCACCAGCACTCTATGAAAGTCGCCATTGTTTTGGCCGACGTAGACAGCCAAGTGTCCTTTCGGAACTTCAATCGGTTTTTTGTTGATGGGGTCTTCGCCGATGGGAATGTAACCCGATCCGGATTTCACCGTGCATATGGATTTGACTCCGTTTGTAAAGCGGCGACCCCAATTGATGAACTTGGATAAAGCGTTTGACTTGCAAAATGATCCGGCTTGTGTCAGGCGATGGTACCCACATGGGTTCCGAACTTTGCGGTTGAACCATCTACGAATCCGGACAAGCCGTTTACCGATCTTGAATCCTCTTGTCTTTCTCATGGATCGTCGGTATATAATATTTCAAGAAAAAAGATGGGACTAAATTTTGAGCGTAGTTGAATAAGAGTAGAAGGGTTTCTTTAGAGGGAGAAGACGACTAGGAAAAGGGCCATGGATCGGCGATGGACATAATAAGGCGAGAGAGAGTAAGGCAAACTTCAGAGAGAGACGTAGGTATGTTTGACATCTTTATACTGCTCTCCAGCTGAGTCTTTCATTCGAAATTCTGACTCGGAATTCCTTGATGAAGTAACCTCCTTTTTTGTTTTCTTCTTCTTAGGCAGCCTCAAGAACTACACTCAAAATCTTAGGTAACCGTAGAACAGGAAGATGAAGAACCTATATATGAATATACAGTGAACCGAGGGAAACCCAGAAGGTTGAAAAGAAAAAAACAAAGTGAAATAAATGAAGGAACGGGTCAAAAGTGGAGGAATTGGGGTTTGAGTTGAACTTGCCTGGAGCTAGCGGGGTTGTGGTTTAAATAAGATTATGATATCAGAGAAAGAGTTAACCGATTGGATCTTAGTTAATATTCTAAAAAATTAATTATGAGTTGGAAGTTAAATTAGTAATTAACAATTTGCTTAAAGAGTTTGATTTAAAATAAATTGATAGATTGAGTTTTTGGTTTTAATTAGGAAAATATATTATAGTTATGTTTTTTATTTTGTTAAAGAGTTGTTGGTTCTATTAGATACTCTTAAATGAAAGGTCAGTTTTTTCGGGATAAGGATATTCGTTATCATTCAATGTTAGTTATATTTTTTCTTATATTTCATGGATTTGAAATATCAATAAAAATATAAAGTTTTAATTTAATTTGATTGATATTATCATTAATTTAATAAATCAGAAAATATATGATCGATATCCTTTAATTTTGAATAATATAAAATCAAACTGTTTTTTAAACAAATAATTTATTATTGGATCCGTAGGTGGATGACCAATTAGCAGCGGCTAATGAATTATGTAATAATGAAGTATCTCCAAAAATGTGGCAACAAATCAAAAGCTTAGAAATGCATAGTGGAGATGGATCGAGGGGTGGGCAGAGGTAGTTTACCCTTTGAAAATTTAAAATTGGCATGTATTACAAATTCGTTTATGTAATTTTTATCGACATATTTATCTCTTAAATTTATATTTCTCTCCCCTAATATAAAATTCTCAGTAAAAGGCCTATAAAACATAATTATGGCTCCATAAGACTAATAATTAGTTAAATCATTAGTTGGGGGACAATTCAACGTTAATCATAACCACAATTCAGACCGCAATTTGCAGTGAGAAAGAATGGTCCAACCAAACCAACAATTCATAGATTACAAGTAGAAAACACCTCCGGCCGCACCGGTTCAGAACTAAAATATCAGTCAATCCGCAGGTCCAAGATCTCGTACGTAGAGGTACTACTTTAACCTCTTCCCATAGATTACAAGTGGTACGTATGTGGGCCCCATCAAGCATATTTCAGTTGATAATTTCAAAAGTGGTGGGCTCCGCCATGCTACGTGTAAAGACAACCGACGCGTTCACAAAAAATGGCCGTAAGAAGAACATCAAGATAAAGCGGGAGAAAATAAGCTCAAGGCATAAGAGTCCATTGATGATGTGCTCGATTTGAAAGTGGGTCAAGATTTATTTACAGTAAGAATTCTAGAACAGATTATTGGTAGCAGTGTAACAATGGTTCATAAGAGAGATCAAAAAAGAGTTTGAGTTGGTCGATGACTCTCTATCTTCGGCCAGAAAAAGTAGGACTGCATCGGAGGAAAATACTATAGAAAGGTGGCTTGAGGAAGACGATCTTCAATTACGATGTATGGAAAATTTACCAGGAGGCGGTTGTTTGTCGGGTGAGGACGTGGGGGAAAGGAACATTGGAGAAGAAGCAATTATGGGGCTGATAAAAAGTGATGTTGGCAGTGGGAATGTGCAGAAGATAATTAATGAAGAGGTTGAAAACGTGGAGGGAGTCGAAGTTACTGCTAGGAGGTTTTTAAATTATCAAAAACGTGTTAACGTGGAAGAAGAAGATAATTATAGATATTTTTCTATTTGGGAGGGAACAACTGATACTAGGTTAGTGGACGGGATGCTAGTAGATCAAATTAGAGGGGAGCCCAAATTAGGGAATGCAGGGGAGGATATGGACCAGAGGTTAAATGAACAAATGTATTTGTGTGTGAGGATATTAAATCGAATAAAAGCAGTCAGAATATAAGAGCAAAGGTCCGGAAAAATAAAAGATATGTTTCTTTACAATGCATTCAAGACAGTTTTGTTAGCAAACCAAGGAAGGGAAGAAATAGCCATGCAAAGAAAAAATAAGAAGAAGATAGAGTACGAGGAAGACTGGACTGAACTAGAAGGAATGTCTTTATCAAATTCCGATCTGCAAGATAGATGACAGAGACAAAAGATGGAAGCAAAGAAAACTTTGCAGATTGGAAGAGTGTTGGGGATAGAGTTTCATGGTCCAGAAGAGGTTTTAGTTAGGGAAATTGTAGCAGCGGAGGAATCGGAAGGCATATCCCAATCATTATCTAATGCTTTTTAATTGAAATTAGAGGGGGAAGTTTTTTGGAGGAAGAATCTATCCTGGAATATAAGAGGATCACTATCAGGAGGTAAGGTCGAAGATGCGTTGGATTTTGCATTAAATTTCGACATGTCCGTGTTTTGTTTGGATGATTGATTGGGGTGGTAAAGCTGATCTAGTTTAGAATTGGAGTCTAGAATGGTGCTAAGCTGAATTAAGGTCCACCTACAGCGCAAGTGGCAGTGACAGTCTTTGTTCTTTGAGATCGACAATGATGTTTTCACTTAATTTAAAATGTGCATTTTTGTGTTGTGAATACTAGGTGCCAAGGGATGGCAATATGGCTGGATAATGATGGTATGCGTAGACTCAAGACCTTTTAGGTGTGGTGTGTTAGGCTTGGTTGTTTTTTGATGTCCATAACAGCTGTTAAGCTCTGTTTATTTGTTGTTGGTGCCGTAGTTTACTGTCTTCCTTCCAGCTTGGTTGTTGGAACCTTGGGGAATTGGTGGTTAGCTGAATTGATTACAATTGACTGTGAGCTAAGGTGATTGGATTCTTGTGTCTTGCGAGGACTTGTTCGTCAAACAGGTTTCCCCCTGAAGAATATATCCAATGTTTCATCCTGTAATTTGTTAGGCTGTTTGGATGATCTAAGTAGTGTTTGTTGTTACGTGCCTTGTGATCGTAATGGAATGGCTTTGCTTTGCGTTTGATGGCGTGCGTACAACCGATTGCTTTCGGTTTTTTCTGATGGAAGTGGATTAATGTCGTACATGCTTACAGCGCTGGTTTTTTCGTGTCTAAAGGGAGAAGTTTTGTTATGTTGCTAGTCGGTCTGTTCAACCTCTACAGTGCTGGAATTTTGTTTGCTGCTCTGATTGTAATATTAGCTTTGTTTTGTTCTGCTCGATTTGTCTGTGTTGATTCTAGAGATGTTGTTTGTGTTAAGTCTTTAAAGTGTTAGTTGAAGGTACTACTGTTGTAAAAAGGCTGTTGGTTGTTGTAACGTTGATATGTTTTTAGCCTTGTCTTTGGTAAAGGGGTTTCAAAATTTGTAGGGGCGGAGTTGTGTGTTTTATTTCGTTTGGAGTTGTATTTTGCTCCTAGTCAATAGTACTCTTTTCCTCTGCTTAAGTTTAGGGAGGTTTTTAACGAGACTCTTGACTCAGGATTTATTTAATAAAAAATCATTTTTGCCGAGAAAAAAAAAAGAAAAAAAGAGAGAAAGTATTGTTTTTAGTAGTGAAGCGTATAGGGTGGTTGGACCATCAGGACAGCGACAAGAAGAAAATAGATATGCATGCATGCTATAAACACATAGAAATGCACATAGCCGGATTTAAATCCGATCCGAACCGGATAAAAATTGATCCGGTTTTTTCACTAAGCTAAAAAACCGGTTTATAAAAAAACCGGTTCGGATCATAACCGGTTTGGAGGGCCGGATGATGTAACCGGTGTAACCGGTTTCGGTTTGAAAAAAACCGGTTTTTTAAAAAAACCAGTTTTTAATCCGGTAAAAAATCCGGTCATCCAATTTTTTAAACCCCAGACCGGATTTTTTTTCGTATAAAAAACCAGTTTTTTATCCGGTTTTTTTCAAAACGGTATCCGGTAAAAACCGATCCGGTTTAAAAAAAACCGGTTTTTCCCAAATCCGATTTCGGATATTTTTTACGCAAAATCGGATATTCGAATTTTTTGTGCACTGAAAAATTCAATTTGCAAACGTTTACTTTATGGTCGTGTAGGACACATTTGTTTTAACATATCATACCATATTTTTAATATTATTTAAAATCTAAACTCCGAATTGCTAGGTCAATTTTGGCGTTTCATTCTTATCTACTACCATTAAGCTTTTTCAAAATAGTTGCAACTTCCACACCAAAACCCGAATTCGAAAGCTCTCTCTCACCAGCTCCTTGCCTTGTAATATATATAAAAAAATATACTATCTTATAAAACCTGTAAGTAGGAACTCTTAATATAAAACAATCATAAAGCAGCTGGCCCATCTGGGAAACAGAAAAGAAACTTATAAATTTTACACGTCAGTTCTCGTTGTTATATTTATTTATACGTACGTAAGGGTACTTGTGCATTTGCAAGCTCTAGATCGAGCTTCTGGATGGCTCTAAGGGGTAGGAGATATATCTCCTACAGAGTGTAATACGTACCGTACGATATGATATAAAGTCGCTCAAGTTGCAAAGTTTGATTTTCGATGTCAACTTTTTGTTTGTTAGCCATAAAATATGCTTTCTTTTCTATAATATATATGTATATAATGATTGCCACTTGTTTCATTTTTTTTTTATTTTTTTAGTATTTGTGAAATAATTATGCATAAAATATATATCAATGATAATGAAATATGATCATACATATTTAATACTAAAAACTGGGTCGTTAAAATTCAAATGATTGAAGTCGTCTAATCATGTTTCTTTTTATTTTTTGGGGTTTTACTCCGAATTAAGTACTATAGAGACAAAAACGACTCCTTCAACCTAGTTTACTCTATTTACAATCAAAATTGTTTTCATTCGTGCTTAAAATAAAGTGTTGTAAATTTGGCCCAAAGGAGTTGGGCATAGATTTTGATACTATATTCAAATGGGCTCTCTTCTTAAAATTCATTAATGCTTCGGCCCATGCTGGTGTCTATGTCTATAAGAAATTTGGACCAAAAACAGCGATATTTGTTTGGAAAATGGATCAAGCCTTGATGTTTATATCATGTTGTCCAAGCCCAATTATCACAGGTAAACATTATAATCTCACTCAATCAACTGCAGCCACTATATGAGAAGAGTTTAGAAAAACTATCCGCCAGGTTCGTCAAAGACGTGTTTTTTTATCCAACAGTGGTGAATGGGATGGGTCACAATTTTCTGTTGTCCCTAT